AATGTAGAAGTACCAGAAGAAAATAAGAGAGAATTATTTATGATAACTTGAGGATTGCTTGCTAATTATGAGGCAAAATCTCAGAAATCTTTAAACTTTTTTGGATAAAATCACAAAATTTTTTGCATATCACAAGCCATTATTTTAAAAGTAAAAACAAACAAAAATATAGATGGTGTATTACTCTTTTCACACTACCATATGGAACTACCTGAGACTGGGTAATTTATAAAGGAAAGAGGTTTAATTGACTCACAGTTCTACGTGGCTGGGAGGCCTCAGGAAACTTATACAATCTTGGCAAATGGTGAAGAGAAAGCAATTACCTTTTCTTTTTTTTTTTTTTTTTTTCGAGACAGAATTTCACTCTTGTTACCCAAGCTGGAGTGCAATGGCACGATCTTGGCTCACCGCAACCTCCGCCTCCTGGGTTCATGCAATTCTCCTGCCTCAGCCTCCTGAGTAGCTGGGATTACAGGCGTGCACCACCATGCCCAGCTAATTTTGGTATTTTTTTTAGTAGAGACGGGGTTTCACCATGTTGGCCAGGATGGTCTCGATCTCTTGACCTAGTGATCCACCCGCCTTGGCCTCCCAAAGTGCTGGGATTACAGGCTTGAACTACCACGCCCAGCCACAAGTACCTTTTTCACATGGTGGCAGGAAAGAGAGAGTGAGTGAAGAAGGAAGTGCAACACTTTTAAACCATCAGATCTCATGAGAACTCACTCACTATTATGAGAACAGCGTGGGGAAGCCACCTCCATAATTCAATCACCTCTGACCAGGTCCCTCCTTTGACTTACAGGATTACAATTTGAGATGAGATTTTGGTGGGAACACAGAGCAAAACCATATCATTCCACCCATGACCCCTTCCAAATCTCATGTTCCTTTCATGTTTCAAAACCAATCACACCTTCCCAACAGTCCCTCAAAGTCTTAACTCATTCCAGCATTAACTCAAAAGCCCAAATCCAAAGTTTCATCTGAGACAAGGCAAGTACCTTCTACCTACGAGCCTGTAAATTCAAAAACAAGTAAGTTACTTCCAAGATAGAGAGGATGTACAGGTATTGGGTAAATGTTCACATTCCAAATAGGAGAAATTTCCAAAATAAAGTAGCTACAGGCCCCATGCAAGTCCAAACCACAGCAGGCAGTCATTAAATCTTCAAAATCCAAAATGAACTCCTTTAACTCCATGTCTCACATCCAGGGCATGCTGGTGCAAGAGGTATGCTTCCACAGCCTTGGGAAGGTCCACCCTTATGGCTCTGTAGGGTACAGGCCCTATGTCTGCTTTCATGGGCTGGCACTGATTACCTGTAGCTTTTCCAGGCCCATAGCACAAGATATTGGTCAAGCTACCATTCTGGAGTCTGGAGGACAGTGGCCGTCTTCTCACAGTTCCAGTAGGCAGTGCTCTGGTGAGGACTCTTGTGTGGGGGATCCAACCCCACATTTCCACTTTGCACTGCCCTAGTAGAGGTTCTTCATGAGGGCTCCGCCCATGCAGCAGACCTATGCTTGGACATCCGGTCATTTTCATACATCTCTGAAATCTAGGCAGAGGTTCTCAATCCTCAGTTCTTGCCTTCTGTGCACCTGCAGACCCAACACCATGTAGAAGCTGCCAAGGCTTGTGACCTGCACCCTCTGACATAATAGTCCAAGCTGTACCTTGGCTCCTTTTAGCCATGGCTGGAGCTCAGCAGCTAAAATGCAGGGCATCAAGTTCTGAGGCTACACAGAGCAGCAGCAGGCCCCTAGGGATGGCCCATGAAACCATTTTGTCCTCTTAGGCCTCCAGGCCTGTGATGGGAGGGGCTGCTGCAAAGATCCTGACATGACCTGGAGACATTTTCCCCATCATCTTGGCAATTAACATTCAGCTCCTCAGTACTTACGTAAATTTCTGCAGCCAGCTTAAATTTCTCCCAGAAAATTGGTTTTTCTTTTCTACCTCATGATCAGGCTGCAATTTTTCCAAACTGTTCGATTTGCTTTCTAAATAAAAGTTTCATTTTAAGATAATCTCTGTGAATGCATATGAATAAACACATTCAGAATCAGCCAGGTCACTTTTTGAATGTTTTGCTGCTTAGAAATGTCTTCCACCATATACCCTAAATTATCTCTCTCAGTTTCAAATTTCCACAGATCTCTAAGTCAGGGCCAAAATACCACCAGTCTCTTTGCTAAAACCTAGCATGAGTGACCTTTACTTCCAGTTCCCAATAATTTTCTCATCTCCATCTGACACCATCTCAGCCTGGACTTCATTGGCCATATCACTATTAGCATTTTGGTTAAAATCATTCAGCAAGTCTCTAGCAAGTTCCAAACTTTCCCACATCTTTCTGTCTTCTTCAGAGCCCTCTAAACTGTTCCAGCTTCTGCCTGTTACCCAGCTCCAAAGCTTCTTTCAAATTTTCAGGTTATCTTTAGATCAGTACCCCACTCCTGGTAGCAATTATCTGTAGCAGTCCATCTTCACATTGCTATAAAGAACTACCTGAGATTGTGTAATTTATAAAGGAAAGAGGTTTAGTTGACTCACCGTTCCACATGGCTAAGAAGCCTCAGGAAACCTACGGCCATGGCAGAAGGTGAAGGGGAAGCAACTACCTTCTTCACATGACAGCAGGAAAGAGAGAGTGAGCAAAGAAGGAAGCACTACAATTTTAAATCATCAGATCTCATGAGAATTCACTCATTATCATGAGAACAGCATGGAGGAAACCACCCCCATGATTCAATCACCTTCCACCAGGTCCCTCCCTCAATGCATGGGGACTACAATTTGAGATGAAATTTGGGTGGGGACACAGAGCCAAACCATGTCAGATGGTAAAGGAAGTGGGTAAAAATGCAAAGAGGTAGCATGAAAGAGTTATTTTATGTTGATGGAATGCTACTGTATCTTGATTGTAATTACACAAATCTCTAAATAGGATAAAATTGCATAGAACTACACATACAAACACACAAATGTAAATCTTTTAAATAGCGAAAATTGAATAAGGTCTGTAGACTAGTTAACAGTAATGTAGCAACGAATTTTCTAGTTTTCTTATCATACTACAGCTATATAAGATGTCACCACTGGGGGGAGCTGGATGAAGATTTCTACTATTTTTGCAACTTCATGTGTGTTTATCATTATTTCAGAATAAAAGAGCTTTTAAATCTAATACTATAATTAAGAAAAAATAAAATAAAAAACACTTGGAGAAGGGAAGTTCTTTGGTGCTCATATCACAAATAAAGAACTAATTTCCCTAAGATATAAATGGTTCCTCGAAACCAGTAAGAAAAATGCCAAAACCAAATCCAAAAAAGGTATAGACTGTCCACAGGAAATAAACATAAATGGCTCTAAACATGTAAAATAATTATAAACACTCGCTCATAGTAAGAGTCACACAAATAAGAGCTAATATACTTCTTTAAAAAAACCTAACAGGTTGACAAAAAACAAAAAGTGTGAAAAAAGTTCTCTAATCAGTTGCTGGTGGGAAAGTAGACTGATGCAAATCAATAAAGGGTGATATCTGTCAAAATTCAAAATGCACATTTTATTCAACCATGTAATTCCATTTCATGAGACTTATCCTATAGTTAATTTGCACATGTGCAAAATTACATATGTAGAAGATACTATTCATTATAGCATTGTTATAATAACAAAGAACAGGAAGTAACCTAAATAACCACAAACACATGGCTAGTTAAAGAAATTGTGGTACATCAATGCAAAAAAAATTTTTAAGTGAGGAAATACTATGTATACCCACATATGTAGCTCTCCAAGATACGTTTTAAAGTAAAAAGAGCAAGGGGCAGGACAACGTGTGTATTGTGCAACCATTCTGTGGAAAGATGGAGACATTGTAAGTTATTTTGTTGGTAGCTAGCTAGGTACTAGTATAGAATATACCAGTGTGTAAGTTAGTGGACCAGTTCATTAATTAGGTATTAGTGGCTTTCTGATATAGAATAAAGTATCTCCACAAGGATAGACATAAAACTGGTAAGAATGCTTCAGGAGGGAACAGGTAGGAGGGAGACTCTCTATACCTACTTTTCAATAGGTTTTAAATTTTCAGCCATGGGAATGTATTATCTATTTTTTAAAATAAATGCTTAAATAAAAAAGGTAGAGCCATGTGCCCAAAGATTACTGTTCACAAGTGTTCATCCACTTATCAGTAAGGATTTCCCTAATCAATAAGGAAATTTTCACTCTCAGAGGAAATTAAAATGTCTCAAAACATTAGCAAGGCCAAGAACCTCTTTGGAACTGGGTGCTGCATATGCTCTTATGATTACACTCCTACAGACTTCAGAGAAGAGAAAATTGAAGTCAGAACAGTGAAAATGTTAATGAGAAAAGAGATAGAGTGGTATAAAGAAACATTCCAGTAATCTCAATAAAATTAAAACCAGATTATCCAAGTTTATATGGAAACAAAGTATCTTCATGCAGTAAAGGGCAGTCAGAACTCACAGCCGTGACCACTGCCTGCCATAACTGCCTGTCCCTTGGTGCGCTCGTAGTAATCATAACATTGTCCTCAAGAAGAGTGTCACTTCAGTATCTCCATCTCAGTTCAGCCATAGAGACAAATATTTGCTCTTAACTTTCCAAAAGGCAGTGGAGATGCCATGGCACAGTTAACACTAAACCAAAGTCGTCCAAGTAACAAAGGTGTACAAACATAAAGAATAGCACAGCGTCGTATTAACATATTCTGAACTTAAGGACAATTCTGGCTCTCTGGAATCCATGGGACTACATCTTAATAATATTCCAAAGAAGGGAAGCATGCTCAGAGAATTCCCAGATATCCTTGTCTCCTCTGTTTCCCAGAGGAGGAATCCCATAGCAGGATCCAGTATTTAGGAACCTATGAAAACACCTCCATGTCAGTGGGCCACAGCTCTGCCATCCTCATCTTTCTTTTCTGGGGGTCTGGATAAGGAGACCACGCCATCTAGGCCACCCAGAAGCCCCTAGCCAACAGCAGGAGCTGCCAGAGCGTGCTTCGAAGCTTGAGGTTGCTGAAGATGAGGATGAAAGGATGGACAGATACACACAGGTAGATGGCAATTTGCCATGGCCAGTAGAAGTCATTCTGTACAGTCATAAATTTTATAGCATCAACCGTCAGGAACAGAAAGGACAGAGCATAAAGCATGAGGAAGGAGATGAGGGACTTAAGAGCTCTGGTGTGAGCCTGGGTGCTGGGGTCCTGCAGGCTGTGGCCATTGTGCTTCATTCTCTGAGCATGCCTCCTCAGGGAATTAATTAACAGCATAATTGAGACCAGAAAAACAGAGCAAGGAATGGACCATATGGCCAGTTTCAGGGGCAGCAAATCGTTAATTTCTGTTGTTGTATCCCACTCGTAGGTCATGTTCTCAGAAAATTTTCTAATGAAAAATTCTTGATATGCAAAGTAGTTCACCAAAAAAAACAGCAGAGTTGTGATGAAGGAGATCGGGACAGAGCCCAACAGGAGCCAGGGCACCCACCCTGGGAACCTCCACTTCAGCCACAGGAAGGTGGGGTGGGTGATGTTAGCAATCTTCACACAGAACAGGATGCTGAGCCAGGTGCAAAACCAGAAGGTGGCTGAGTTCAGAAAGTGCCAGTGTAGACGGAAGAGCTGTTCACCGAGATCCCCGGAGTGCTCGACCACACGGGCAGAGTAGTAGAAGTTGTGTATCAACCCAAGCAACTGCAGGCAGAAGCGAGAGGCAGCCAAGCTAATGAGGATCATGTCCAAGGGGAGCAGCCTGCCATATTGCAGCCACTCCCTGCCCAGCACCAGCGCAATGAAGCCATTCGCTGAAATCCCCAGAAAAATCTGCAGGATAAAGAGGAACATGAAGAAGGCCGTCAATGCTGCTTGCATTCTGACCCCTCCTGCAGTTTCCACTTGGTTGCCTTGGTCCCTGGCCTCCTCCCTGCCACTAGCCACAATCCTGCTTTTAATCTTTCATGGGAGTACCAATGAGCAGTCAGGCTCTGCATCTGAACCAGAGCTCACTTGGAGAAAAGAATGCTCAGGCTAAAGAGGAGAGGTGTGTTCTTGGCTCAGACAGGATGCAAATTTCCCCTAGTGTTAGTTACCACTAGGCCTATAAATTGCCCTAATTTGCCTTATCTGGTTTTGCCTACATGCTGCCATGGTTAGTATCAGTGTCTATGATTTTTCAGGGTTTCTATGACAGTTCCATCCTCAGGCTATATGAACACTCCTCTTCCCATCAGACCGTTCTCAAGACTTTAAATATAGAGACCAGTATAGGAGATACCTAGGGAAAATAGTGACCCAAATAATTCTGTCCTAGCACTTCCCTGTTACATATCCATGCTTACCTTGCTACCTTTGCACACAAATCTCTTCAAAATCAAATACCTCGTCTACCTCTCCATCCAAATCTCTGCTTAGATCCTTCATGAATCCTGAGATGTAAATGATGTTTTAAACTGTTTTTATACTTCCAGTGAGAAAATTCATTATCTTGTGGTTGAGGGACCTTCCAAAGCAGGACTGAGAGCCCCTGTCTCTTGCTAGGCATTGATGGGAGGCTGCTCTTGGTCCTAGAGGCCTCTCCCAGGTCTCTGCCAAGAGAGGTCTTTCAGCATGACCACTCATGTCAAGTCAGCAGTCTTTAGAGGGAGTCTGCTAACATGCAATCTTTCTGCCTTAGCCTCCCAAAATGTCAGGATTACAGGCATGAGCCAGGTCACCTGGCCAAAGTTCCTTATATATTTTGGAAATTAACCCTTATTAGATATGTGGTTTACAAACATTTTCTCCCACTTTCCATTCTGCTGGTTGTTTGCTTTGTAGCTTTTTATTTTGATGTAATCCCATTTGTCTATTTTTATTTAGCTGCTTGCCTGTGAGTTTGGTGTAATTTTCTATATGTCATTACCCAAACCAATGTCAAGAAGCTCTTTTCCTATGTGTCCTAAGAGTTTTATGATTTCAGGTCTTGCCATTAAATCTTTAATCTATTTTGATTTAACTTTCACATATGGTATAAAAAGAGAATCAAATTTCATTCTTCTGCATTTGGATATCCAGTTTTCCCAACCTCATTTATTAAGGAGACTATCTTTTCCCCATTGTGTGTTCTTAGTACTTGGTCAAAAATCAATTGACCATAGATGTGTAGTTTTATTTACAGGCTTTCAATCCAACTCCATTGGTCAGTGTGTCTGCTTTTTGCCAGAACCATGCTGTTTTGACTGCTATCATTTTGTAGTATATTTTGAAATCCAATAGTGTGATACATAGAGCTGTGCCCTTTTTAGTCAAGACGGCTTTAGTTACTCAGGGTCCTTTGTGATTCCACAGGAATTTTAGGATTTTCTTTGTATTTCCGTGAAGAGTGACATTGGAATTTTCATAGGAGTTGCATTCAATCTGTAGATCAGGTAGCATGGACATTTTGATGATATTTCTTTTTCAATCCATGAACATGAGATACCTTTCCATTTATTTGTGTACTCTTCAATTTCTTTCATCAGTGTTTTACGTTTACAGTATACAGATCTTTCACTTCCCTGGTTAACTTTACTCCTAACTATTTTATTTTTTATGCCATTATAAATAGGATTTTTAAAAATTTCTTTTCCAAACAATTCATTGCTAGTGCATAGAAATTCTTCTGATTTTTGTAAGCTAATTTTGTATCCTGCAACTTTACTAAATTCATTCCATTTTATAGTTTTTGGTGGTATATGCAGGATTTTTTATATATAAGATTATATTATCAGCAGAGAAAATTTCACTTCATCCATTCCTATTTCAATGCCTTTTATTTTTCTCTAGTCTAATTGATCTGGTTAAGGTGTCCAGTAGTATCATGTGGAACATATTTAACATATTTAAAAATATTCAACACATATTTGTTAATTTTTCATGATTTTTCCTGTTATTGATTTCTATCTTCATATCATTGTGGGAAGAAAAGATGCCTGATATTATTTCAATCTTCTTAAATTTTGCAGCTCAGACAGCAAGCATAGCCTCAGTGGCAAAAGCTAAACAAAAGGGTGTGACCCACATCCGAGTTGTGGTGAAGGGTCTGGGGCCAGGACGCTTGTCTGCCATCAACAGACTGATCATGGGGGGCCTGGAAGTGATCTCAATCACAGACAACACCCTCATCCCACACAAAGGTGGCTGCCTCAGGAAGGCTTGGAGGCTGTGACGGGAAGGAAGCCTGCACTTGGACCTGACCTCTAGCCTCAGCTCTGGTGGGACCTTGTAGAAAGCTCCCTGTCAGAGCTCTCTCCAGAATATGCTTGCTGGAGAGCCTTCAGACAGTAAGGGTGAACTTTGTCTCCTTACACAGTGGCTTTGTTTGAACCTCCAGCCGGAGATGGGTATGCCCCAGAAGTGAGCTTTGCATCTCTTGACAAGAGGGGAGCTATAAGGGCAGCCAAGGCCTAGGCCCAACCTCTGCTCTGAGAAAATAAAATATCTGTACCATCAAAAAAAAAAGTTAAGACTCATTTTGTGGTTTCTTTTTAAAGTTCTTGCCCTAAAGTCTATTTTGTCTGAACTAAGCACAGCTACTCCTGTTCTTTTTGTTTCCATTTGCATGAAATATCTTTTTTATAGCTTCACTTTTAGTTTAGGAGTTTCCTTTAAGGTGAAGTGAGTCTCTTGTAAGCTACATATAGTTGGATCTTTTCTAAATCCATTCACTCACTCTGCCTTTTCATTAGACAATTTAAACCATTTACATTTGCCAGGCAAGTTGGCTCACACCTGTAAACCCAGCATTTTGAGAGGCCAAGGTAGGTAGATCACCTGAGGTCAGGAGCTTGAGATCAGCCTGACCAACATGATGAAACCCCTCCTCTACAAAAAATACAAAATAAGTATAGTGGCAAATGCCTGTAATTGCAGCTACTTGGGAGGCTGAGGCTGGAGAATTGCTTGAACCCAGGAGGTGGAGGCGGCAGTGAGCTGAGATTGCACCACTGGATCCCAGCCTGGCAAAAAGAGTGAAACTCCACATCAAAAATAAATAAATAAATAAATAAGCCATTTACATTCAAAGTAATCATTGATAGGTAAGAACTTACTAGTATCATTTTTCAAATTTATTTTCTTGTTGTTTTGAAGATGATTTGTTTCTTTATTTCTCTATTGCTTTTTTCCTTTGTATTTGATTACTTTCTTTAGTGGTATGTTTTACTTTTATCTTTTCTATATCTATTACAGGCTTTTGCCTCGTGGTTACCCTGAGGCTTATATAAAACATCTTATAGTGATAACTGGCTAGTTTAGCTGGTGACAACTTAATTTTGATTTCACACACAAACTTTATACTTTTACTCCTCCTTTCACATTTTGTGTTTTTGGTGGACAATTTAAAATTTTAAAATAATTTAACAAATTATTACAGCTTTATTTTTAATATATTTGCTTTTTAATCATTATAACTGAGATATATTTGATTTTCCCACTGCCATTACAATATTACAGTGTTCTCACTTTGACAATGTACTTACTTTTACCAGTGAATTTTATACTTTCATATGTTTTTATGGAACTAATTAGTGCCCACTTTTTTTTTTATCATTTCTTATAAGGCAGACCTAGTAGTAACAAACACTCTCAGCTTCTGTTTGTCTAAGAAAGTTATTATCACCCCTTCATTTTGAAAGCTAAGATTGCTGAGTGTAGTATTTGATGTTGACAATTTTTTCTTTTGGGATTTTTGAATATATTATTTGGCTGTCTTCTGGTCTGTGACATTTCTGCTGAAAAATCTACTGATAATCATATGGGATTTCCTTGTACATAAAAATTTGCTTTTTCCTTGCAGCTTCAAAACTCACTTTGTCTTTGACTCAACAATTTTATTATGATATGTCTCCATACTGGTCTATTATTCAGATTCATCTTATTTGGTATACTTTGGGTTTTCATAATCTGGATTTCTGCTTTCTTCCTAAGGCTTGGAAAATTTTCTGCCATTATTTTTAAAATATGTTGTCTATCTCTTTGTCTCTCTCTTCTCTTTCTGAATTACCAATAATGCAAAGTTGTTACACTTGATGGTGTCCCATAAGTTTCTCAAACTACCTTCATCCTTTTTTACTCTTTTTATCTTTTTCCACCTCAGATTGTATGATTTCTGTTGATCTGTCTTTAAGTTCACTGATCCTGTATTCTATTTGAACTACTCTGTTGTTGAACTCATCTACTGAAATTTTCAGTTCAGTTGCACTATTCTTCAGCTCTATGATTTCTGTTTTATATCTTTTAAATAATTTTTATCTCTTTGTTAAAATTCTTGGTTTGTTCTTATATTGCTCTCTGGATCTTGGTGAGTATTTTTGTGACCATAATTTTGAACTTCCTGTTGAGTAAATCACATATTTTCCTTCACTCATTGTCAATTTCTGGAGATTTATTTTGTTCTTTTATTTGGAATGTATTTCCTTATTTCTTCATTTTCAATGACTCTCTGTGTTGGTTTCTGTGGCTCACTAAGCTTTTTTCAAGTAATTATTTTGAATCCTTTGTCAGGTAGGTTGCATACATCCAATTATTTGGGGTTGGTTACTGGATAGTTACTGTGTTTCTTTGGTGATGTCATGTTTCCTTGTTTTTTTTTTAATGTTCCTTGAGCCTCATGTTGATGGCTGTACACTTGAAGGAGCAGTAACCTTTTCTAAACTCTAAAAGCTGGCTTTGTGGGGAACGAACTTTACATATGGGTAGGTTTGAGGGTGCTGGAAGGGTGGGATGCAGTGTCTCCTACATTGGGGTAGAAGAAATAGTAGCTCCAGTTTCAAGGTAGTATGGTAAATTTGGGTCCAGCATGAGAGAGGAGTATCACATGGTGTGGACTCTTGGTAGCTCCACCAGCTGGAATC